TTCCTCTTTCTCGACTAACCGAAATAATTTCGGTCTTCATTAAGATCAAAGGAATTGAAACCGACCCAAAGGGATATTTTAGAAATTTCAAATTCAAATCGACTCTCTTAGTGTTTTTTTTTGACATTTTAGTGGTTTTTGGATAACTTTTGAAATAGATTGCACTCATTTATTATTTTAGATGAGAATGATATTGTGGCGCCCCAACTCCCTTGCCAATTACCTAAAAAGCGTAGCTAGGTGCACCATAGTTTAGAGATTGAATTATCAAATTTAATCCTATACACATACATAAGGTACCGAATATCATTACAAAATTTATAAAATATAATTTACAAGCAAAGATAGATCTTATATTATCATGTCACATATGAGTCTTTTTCTAGGAGGAACCGACGACTTCATTATCGGCATTAGTATCACCTTTACCCGTCATGGCATGAAATAAAAACGAGTGAGCCGAAGCTCGGTAAGTAGGGTGATGCACATGATATGTAATTATTTTCTAACTTTCCCCACTTTGACTCATCCAATTTTAATTCGGGTACCCTAGGTATTAGCATGTCTATTCTATTTTTAATCCGGATAATGATCGATTCACCTTCCGCTAACAACGGAATTATCCCTCGTTGTAGCCACTCGTTAGCGGGAGTCCATTGTCTAACAGTGCGGTGCACACAGCTTAGAGTAGTCTACTTTATTTTTAATCCGGGTGATAATCAATTCACCTTCTACTAACAATGGAATTATCCCTCGTTGTAGCCACTCGTTAGTGGAAATTTATCATCTAATAGTGCAGGTACACAATTGGATCGCTAATACCCTTTTTATCTAATAAGTTACCAAACTTATCCAATTTTCATCCGATTCGATTACCAAACCTCATAGTTTCGACTCAATGGTTTTCATAATTTAATCCATTCCCCATATGCATATGATGCACGTGATGTATCATGAACCACATTCCATCGTGTCATGGGTACTAAACTCATCAATTCCATACCATTGAGTTCACATAAGGAATTCAAGACCCGTCAATAGGGTTAATTCATTTCATGTATCATGAGCCACATTCCATATCTCATAGGCACCAAACTATTTATGTCCATACCATTTTAGAAATTCAATCAACACTTGGGACTTCACCAATATTTTCATAGTAGTCTCATACAAAATACATAACCCATCCATTAGATTTACTCAAGTCCTATATTTTAGCCATAGCGTTAATGGCATTTAATTTGAGCCTTAATAATCGACTTATAATTTTAGTGGGTCCAGGTCTTAATTTCGATTTTTCTTGAATTCTTTTTTTCTAATACTTTATTTTATCTCCCTTAGGATGCAATTAAACCTTTACTCCTAAATTTGGGTGGTGGGAACTCAATTTCGAAAAGTAGGGCGTAAGCCGAGCGTTTCCTAGTAAAAACCAAAATTTTCATTTTTCTTAGGATCTAACCTTTCTACACTTTATTTTATACTTATTTAGATATATTTAAATCATTTATTCATAATTTGGGTGAATGATATTCAAAACTCGAATTCTAGGATTTTTGGCCAAATGGGTCCAATTGGGGCAAAGGTTTGTATTTTGTTCCTAAGTCCTTTCTTTTCACCTTAATGTACTAAATTATACTCAAGTGAATTACCTTGGAAGGCTAGATCTCTAGATCCATAAACACAATCCAACTTAGCCATTTTAGTACCAAGGCCCAATAAGTGTTCTTAGGATATCCAAACCCATTTTCTTTTAATCCAAGCCCATCCGGTTTTAATCCAAGTCCTATTTTATTTTAATCCAAGCTCATCTTATTTTAATCTAAGTCTATTTGTTTTAGTCCAAGTCCCACTTTATTTTAATTCAAGCCCATCTTGTTTTAATTCAAGTCCATTTGTTTTAGTCCAAGTCCCACTTTATTTTAATCCAAGCCCATCTTATTTTTTAATCCAAGTCCCATGGTTTTAATCCAAGTCCAATTATTTTAATCCAAGTTAATTTATCTTAGTCCAAGCCCATTTTATCTTAATCCAAGCTCATCCACACATACATCTTCCAACCCACATGATTGTCATCAAACCAAACCCATTCACACATACATAAACATCCATCACATATGGATCTCATAAGGATACATCAACTTGCTAATCATCCATCATTATACTTGTGCATCACAACACAAAGCCCACTATGAAATGCACATCAAAACAACCATATGAGATCCATCACAACACCAAAACATACATCATCACAAGACCATCATAATAACATATTATAAGGCTTAAAACAAAAACCCATAATCAAACATGTAAAAGAGAACTTAAAGCACAAATAAAACTAAAATGAAACCAAAAGAAACCTATTTACAATGATCTAAGCTTGCTTAAGATTTCTTAGAATTTTTTTTTCTCCTTTCTTTCTTTTCTCCCTTTTTCTCCTTTCTTTTCTCTCTTTCTTTCCCTCAAAAAGCCGTCTCTCTCCTCTCATTATGGAAGCTACAGTTTTGCAAAGAAAAATGGTAAAGTTTTAAGCTTTCCTTCCATTTTTATATCACACCTTTTTCCTTTCATTTATTAACCTTCCAAGTGTCAAAATTTTGTGATAAATGAAGTCAAATGATGGGACAAAAGGGAGGAATAATTTGACCATTTAAAAAAAATTCCAAGTGGGCTAAGTGTCACACTTTTGGAAAAAGTGGTAGGTTTGGTGTCAAATCAAGTACTAAATATGGGAACTAGAAAGGTAACTAAACTAACCAACTTCCTTACCCCATTTGGTTCCTAAAATTCGATCATGCACCTTCTTTGGGTAATTCTTTTACTTGCATGGTCATTTTAAATATAACATTATGAAAAATAAATAATGGCTAATTAAAATCCCAAAAAGGTATTCCTATGAACACTTTCATAAACCTTAAATATTTTGACACCACAAATATAAAAGAAATTACACATAATGTATACTCACATAATTATGGATATTTCAAGAGATATTTTGACTCGGGAATTAAAATTACGACGTGCCAAAATTTTATTTTATTTTATTATTTTTTTAAAAAATCTCATAACTCCTCACTTAAGCACAAAGCATATAACTATCTCTAAATATTAATCGCACTTAATACTTTATATATACGGATATAATATATCAGTACGTATAGCTAGGTTAAGGAATTTCATGAGGGTTACAAATGTCAATTATTTCCATTTCATATTTTTAGATGAATGACATATAAAAGTGCAAATTTGTTTATGTTTGTGATGTTTGAAGTGTATTTAGATACGGTAATGCGTATCGAGCCCGAAAGGGTTTGAGATCCAAGGATATTTAGGTAAAATAAGGTTGGTTCAATGCTCTACAAAATGGCTCTAGAAGGATGAGTTTGTGTTTTTTTTTCATGGATTATCCAGGATAAGTGTAGATCCCGGTGTCTTATAAATCGACTAGCTAATTAAATTGTTTGTGCTATGATTGCTTCAAATGCTTGATATCCGATTTAATTGAACGTGTGTTGATATCCGAATGCTTGTATCTATTAGCTTGCCTAAAAGATGATGAGTTAAGTTAGGCTAATTTTATTCACCATTCTACGTAAACAAGATTAAATTATTAGGTCATTTCTTGACATGCCAATCATGTGAAGATTTAATTAGATCCAATGCTAAATTGACAAGACTCTTAAGTTTTGGAGCTCGATATTAATTTAATATGATTCCAATATAAAAAAATAAACGAATCAATTTTGAAAATATTTTCTTGTCCACATCCAAATAAAATACTTTTAGTTATTAGAATATTTCTCAATATGCCAATCATGTTAGAGATTAATTGGATCTAATACTAAATTAACATGACTCTTAATCTCAGCTGTCGATGTTCATTTAATACAATTCCATAATAAAAATAAAAAAATATATATTTTGAATTAGATGATGATTAAGCTTGGAAATAAACTTAGGAAATAATTTGACAAATATAATTTTCAAGAGATATTTTTAGGAGTAGACTAAACACGGTATCTTTCCTCGAAAACAATGTCTTTGAGTGATTGTTATCTTTCTAAAGGTATAATCAACTCCTTATTTAGAAATCTCTGAATCTAGTGTTTTTTTTTAAGTTTTTTAATTACCTTTAATAGTATATGGTGACTCCAAAACCTTTTTCTTAATTATTTTTTCCTTGGAACCAATAAAATTTTTAAAAATCTCTTAAATATCAAATAGTGACACTTTTGTAGTCATTATCGTGGCTGGCTTGTATAGAGATAGGGGGCATATTTTTTCTTCTCATAAGGGTAGTTTGGTATTTTCTTTTTGGTGTCATGACGGGTGCAGTAATCCTCATAAAGAATGTTCTCTTCTAGGGTAAGTCGTGTCTTTTGCATGTAGAATGATATGTTTTATTTAATGCTCGTTTCATTAGTCCTCTTTCACGGTGTTCAAAGCCTAGAGTCATATAGTGAAGAGGGGAAGGGTGAATCCTTTTGAGGGAGCCTTTCTTCATCCGAGATCCTTTGTGGTCCCGTGTGGTTATCTTAATAGTAGCGAGATGCCTTATTATGTTGGATAAACACATGTTGAGAGTATTTTTCCTAGATATATTAGGTTTGATCCAAGCATAGATAAGAACCGAAAGGATGGATATGTTAATCACCTTTAATATTATTCCCTTTTCTATCAACTCGAAAAAATTTTATTGCCTTTTTATTTCCAATCGTGCAATTAGTATGCCATTATGTTGCCATTTACCAAATTACCATTTAAGAAACTATTATTTCCTTTCGTAATTCTCTTAAATAGTTATCGGCTTGCCTAGATTACATAGTGGCAACTGGTGAGTCTTCCCATACTCATAAAAACATATCCAAAACCCATCAACCGAACAAACTTATCAGTATGCTCGCTTTGTTTATAATCCACCGCATTCAAGTTCTTAACCTTGACTTATCTTCATCTTTCCAACATCTCGTTTTCTCGTTTCTTTCTATTCTTGGGCTTCAGCTTTAAGCTTTTAGTTCATCCCGCTTCAATTTCTTATCATGGAGGAATTTAACAAGGCCTCGGAAAGAAACTTCTATGTCATTAGTCTTCAACATCCCTCGTGAAACCTCTTCGAGGGTGGCTTCAACATCCTCTATGAGTCCTTCAATTTCTTTGAAGAGTTTTTGATGTTGAACCGCAAGATACCTGGAAGGCTAATTGCTTAAATATAGAGATGGTACAATATGAAATGTTAATGTGAACGTCCATACGATGAAGTAAAGCTCGGATCAAGCATTGCTTTGTTATTGGTCATGTAAATGAAAATGCGTTCATTCGTCGCAAGATGACCATAGTGCATTAGTGGCTTTGAGGAACGAGACATCATCCTCTCGTGGAAAAAATAAGAACACAAACAAGCCATTATATCGGTTATAGAACGATAAAAAGCAAGCAATAAATAAATGTTAGATTGAAGTCAACGGATTGATAAGAGCTCGATTGTGCCTTTCAAACAAGTCTATTCACGCCGCAAAAAGAATGGGTCTAGTGTCTAGCCATCGGGGCCAAAGCAATTGTCATATTTTCATTTAATCGGTATCTTTAATTTGTATGTTGTTAGTTTATCCTTTATTGTTGGATGCTTTTGTTTGTTACGCAAGAATAGTGTGTGTGTGTGAGTTCTAGAAGACCAGTGGCAATTCGTTATGTCATAGCCAATATAGTGTGAAAGGGAGGGATGAGTGGGGCATTCGATTGTGAAATAATAATTTAGGGGACATTCTTGTCGTGGAGAGCACTCGGAGCCTCTCTAATGCCTTGTTGGGTCATGTACACTCAACGTCCTTAATTCAATCACACCACCATTTTTACCATTTCTGCTACTCTTTTTAATTCCTTTATTTCATTAGTTGGTGCCTACCAATTTGGTATTAGAGCTAACCCGATTCCGAGGTGATTGATGACCAAAACCGAATGGCAAACAAGTTTAAGCGAGTTAGTCGAGGAGGTGAATGAACCGAAAGGCATGAAGGAGCGAGTTCCCGACTTGACTACAGCCTATGACTTCGTTAGTTAGGGAGTTCAAAGATTTCCAAACACACATACAGAGTGCTAGTAATGTGGCGGAGGCGAGTAGTTCTAGATCCGGCAAAGCAAGTAGCTACGGCGGCCGACTCGAAACCCCTATGACCGTGGTGGCAAATCCCGGTAGGGATCGAGAGAGATTTCCAAGGAAATTAGAACCGCCAGCTTACAACGGAGAAGAACCGGGGGCTTTGATATTTCGAGCTGAATGATATTTCTCTATTAATCAGCTCACGAAGCGGAGAAATTGGAAGTCGCCGGAGTGTGTTTTGAAGAAGAGGCACAAGCTTGGTTAAGGTTTAAGGAACGAGATTTTCCATTTGGGACTTGGGATGCTTTGAAGGCGCAAATGCTTCATCAATTTGCGGATATGAGGGAAGGGAATATGTTGCATCGATTCTTTACGAGTGAAACGAGGAGGGTACAAGTGACGGAATAAAGGGCACAATTTGAGTTCCTAGCAACTACGGTTGGGAAGTTGGAGGAAGGAACTCTAGCTGTGGTGTTCGTGAATGGATTATGAGAAAACATAAGAGCCGAGTCGATAGTGATTGGCCCCTCCGGGTTGAAAGAGATGATGGAGGTAGCCACAAGAATTAAGGCTAAAAACCGCATTCTAAGCCCAAACAATAAAACCCACAAAGAGCTCCCTTCAAACCAAACAAAGCCGAATTAGAAGACAATTACATGGACCCTCCCTCTAAACCCGACCTAGTGAACCATCTTACCTCAACCCAAACCCGACCTTATACCCTAACTCAAAACACTCAAACCGACCTAAATCTTTCTCTCATTTCAACACAAACATCCGATTCAAACGACTTTCCCCATCCGAAGCTCGGATAAAATGAGCACAAAGCCTTTGTTATTCGTTGCGATGAGAAGTGGAGTACAACCCATCGTTGTAAAAACAAGAAGCTACATGTCTTGCTTGTTAGTGAAGGAGTGGACGGAGTTGGAGATGGTACCGAAAATTCACGGCGGGAGGAAGAGGCATTTGAGGTAGTGGAACTTTCTTTGAAATTTGTGGTTGGGCTACCGAAGCCTAAGACGTTAAGGCCGAAAGGTGAGGTCCATGGTGTACCCGTTGTAGTGTTAATCGATTGCGACGCGACTCATAATTTTATATCCGTTGATTTGGTATCAAAACTTCAAATTTCGTTTCGAAACAACAGAGTATGGGGTTGTTATTGGTTCTAGAAATAAATTACCGGGACGAGGAATCCGTAGGGGCATTGTACCGAAGCTACAAGAGTTGAAAGTAGTTGAAGATTTCTTACCTCTTGATTTAGGAAGTTCAAATGTCATATTGAGAGTAAAATGGTTAATAACTCTTGGGGTAACTCACTTCGATTGGAAGAAGCTCACTATGTCCTTTGAAATGGGAGGCGGAATGGGCCCAAGCCTCAATAAGGCCTTGGTTTCTCCGAAAACAATGGTACCGACAATCCAACAAGAGAAGGAGGGAATGTTGGTTGAGTTGTGTCGATTGTGGTGGCAAATAAGAAGAAGAGGGAACTGTTGGCATCGAGTCGTGCGGGAAGTGTTAAGTGAATTTGATGATGTTTTTCGATCACTAGTGGGACTCCCTCCCAAGAGGGACATGAGCATGCTATCACCTCGAAGGAGGGGACCGAACCAATTAACGTTAGGCCATATCGTTGCAAATTCAAAAGTCAAAAATTGAGAAGTTGGTGATGGAGATGTTGACGACGGGTATTATACGACCTAGCGACGATCCTTTCTCAAGTCTAGTGTTATTGGTACGAAAGAAGGATGGAAGCTAGAGGTTCCGTGTTGACTACCGAGCTCTTAACAAAGCAACTGTACTCGATTGTTTTCCCATACCTAACATTGATGAGCTCCTTGATGAGTTGTATGGGGCAACGATCTTTACCAAGCTTGACCTTAAATCGAGCTACCACCAAATAAAAATCCAACCCGAGGATGCATACAAGACAGACATTTCGTACTCATGAAGGCCACTATGAGTTTTTAGTCATGCCATTCGGCTTGACAAACGCATCGGCTACCTTCTAGTCGTTGATGAATCACATTTTTAAAGGAATGATGAGGAGGTATGCCCTTGTCATCTTCGATGACATTTTGATTTACGATACCAACCTTGGTGAGCATTTATCACATTTACGGAAAGTCCTAACGGTGTTGCGCACCCATGAGTTATATGCCAATTTTAAAAAATGTTGTTTTTGTAAGACGAAATTGGAATACTTAGGTCATATAATTTCGGGTTTTGGAGTGGAAGCGGATCCCGAAAAAGTAAAAGCCATGACGGAATGGCCGATGCCAAGGAATTCTAAAGAGCTCCGGGATTTCTTGGATCGATCGGTTACTACCGGAGGTTTGTTAAAGGCTATGGAAAGCTTGTCGCCTTATTAACTCGGCTTTTAAAGAAAGATAATTTTACTTGGAGTGACAAGGCAAATACGGCTATGAACCACCTTAAGCAAGCAATGACGAGTTGTCCCCGTATTAGCTTTGCTCGACTTCACCATTCCATTCCGGATTAAGGCGGATGCATCAAGAATTGGACTTGGGGCGGTAATTTTGCAAAAGGCGGACCCATTGCTTTTTTCAGCCAAGCCTTAGTAGGAAGAACGCAACACAAATCGATATATGAAAGGGAGTTAATGGCCATTGTCCTTGCCATTCAAAAATGGCATCACTATTTATTAGGGAGGCATTTCATTGTCAAGACCGACCAGGTGAAGCTTGAAATACCTGTTGGAGCAACGCTTAGTGGCCCTCGAATATCAACGATGGTCGGTCAAACTCATTGGTTACGACTTCGAAATACATTATAAACCGGGGATGGAAAATCGAGCCGATAATGCTCTTTCTAGAATTACTAACGATGTTGCCTTGCAAGTCCTAAGCGTGCCGCATCCGCTGGATTGAAAAATTATGAAGGCTAAAGTTGCCGGGGATCCCAAGCTTGGTAGCATACTTACGGAAATTCAAGCCGATCCTTCGACTAGAGTGGATTGGACGAGTGCAAAATGGCTTGCTTTGCTTCAAACAATGGGTCATGTTGCCAAGGAATTCAATTCTAATTCCTAAAATTCTAGCCGAATTTCACACTAGCCTAGTTGGAGGTCACGACGGATTCCTAAAGACACGTAAAAAGGTCATGGCAAAGCTATTTTGGGAAGGTCTCAAGGCTAATGTGAAGAGATATGTGTCGGAATGTCGGGTGTGCCAACGGAATAAGTATGACACTTTGTCCTCCGCAGGTTTGCTCTAACCCTTATCCATTCCCGATGCTATTTGGAATGATATAACCATGGATTGTGTTAAAGGCATGCCACGGTCTAATGGGTTTAACTCCATTTTGGTAGTTGTTGATAGATTGAGTAAATATGCTCATTTCATACCTTTGAAACATCCTTTTACTACAAAGAAAGTGGCGGAAGAATTCATTGTCAATGTGGTCAAACTTCATGGTTTTCCACGTTCAATTGTGTTCAATAGAGATAAGGTTTTTATGAGGCATTTTTGGGTGAAACTTTTCCGGTTGCAGCATACACGTCTTCATCGTAGTACCGCTTACCATCCATAAAGTGATGGGCAATCCGAGGTGGTGAACCGCTACTTAGAGGCTTATTTATGCTATTTTACGAGATATAAACCCAAGGAATGGGCTAAATGGTTGCATTGGGCGGAATTTTGATACAATACTTCGTACTACACAACGAACAAAAACCACTCCATTCAAGTTCCGTTATGGTAGGGACCTCCCTTCATTAGTACGAGCATGTTCCGGATGGTACTACCAACTCCACTTTGAATGACATGTTGCTAGAAAGGGACCTTATGATCTCCGAACTAAAGGAGCAATTAGAAGTCACACAAAATAACATGAAGAAGCAGGTAACAAGCACGGACGTGATTTGTCTTTTGAGGTGGGCGATGTGGTTTATTTGAAACTAAGACCATATAGATAACGTTCCCTTGCTCGTAAAGCCAATGAGAAGCTTTCTCCTCGCTACTTTGGACCCTATTCAATTGTTCAACGCATTGGTCGGGTTGCGTATAAGCTGGACCTCCCCGCTTCTACATCCTACATCTAGTCTTTCACATATTATAACTCGGGAAGTTGATTGGTACTGCTACTCAAACTCCACCTCCGCCTCCTACTTTAACTAGTGAATTAAAGTGGATTGTGGAGCTAGAAGAGGTGTTGTAAGTCCGGGAAGGGGTCGTTGGAATGAAAGTGCTGATTAAATGGAAGAATTTGCCGGATTTTGAAGCAACTTGGGAACGGAGTTACTTTGATCAACAATTAGTTTCTTGACTTTCACCTTGAGGACAAGGTGAATGAAAAAAGGGAGAGTAATGATAGAGCCCGATTGTGCCTTTCAAACAAGTCTATTCACACCGCAAGAAGAATGGGTCCAAGTGTTTAGCCATCGGGGCCAAAGCATACTGTCATATTTTCATTTAATCGGTATCTTTAATTTGTATGTTATTAGTTTGTCCTTTATTGCTGGATGCTTTTGTTTGTTACGAAAGAATAATGTGTGCGTGTGTGAGTTCTAGAAGACCGGTTGGCAATTCGTTATGCCATAGCCAATATAGTGTGAAATGAAGGGATGAATAGGGCATTCGATTGTGAAATAATAATTTAGGGGACATTCTTGTCATGGAGAGAACTGGGGCCTCTCTAATGCCTCATTGGGTCATGTATACTCAACGTCCTTAATTCAATCACACCACCATTTTTACCATTTACTGCTACTCTTTTTAATTCCTTTATTTCATCAGTTGGTGCCTACCACGAACCTCATAAAAGTTTCTGCATCAAGCCTAAGGAAACCATGCAATGCGAGGTTATGATTCGTTAGGTTTTATAGTGGGATTAGTCAATCATCCACTGATCAAACTATCATATTTTACCTTCTCTCGTTAGTATGTTCGTTATGTCTAATTATGCATATTAGTATGTTCTAACTGATCTCTTTTATGGAAGAAGTTTAGAAGTTCTAACCTTATTTTTACCATAATTCTCTGGTCCGTCCACATATTCTTGATCTTCTAGCTCGACATCGCAATCAATATCCTTGAACACAAATATTGATTTATTGGGGACTTTGCGATGCATGAGGCAGTAAATATGAACATCTGTTTGATCCAGCTCATAGACGTCATAATTTAAGTGATTAGCCATGGCTGCATTCAAGCGTGACTTGCCTGTGCCAGGAGGGCCACATAATAAGTACCGACGATTCCAAGCTTTACCAATACTTCTGTACATTTCCTGAGCGCTCATGAATGTGTTCAAATCATCTAACACTGTTTTCTTAAGCTTTGTATCCATTACAACGGTCTTGAATGTTGTTGTGTGATCAAATGTGTTGTCCAATTGCCACTCTCTGCTGCTGCCCCTAAACAGGAAGAACTTCAAAACTTTTGAAGCCTTCTTCCTTCTTCAATGACCTTGTCTTACTCCAAAATATATGGCAAATACATATTCAGCACAGTATCTTTATTTTTCTTGTGAAAAGTTAGCTCATAAGTCCTATCTAAAAGTATGGTTGTGTTTTTATGCTTACTATTAAACTGCTCAAGCTTTGTAGAAACCAATTTCCACCTTACTTGTACATTTTGAAAAACATCAAGTATCTCATGATCTTTGTCGATGGCAGTTTCTTCCTCAGCCTCTATATCTCTTATTATTGATGACGCTACAAGAGTGCCCCAATAGGAATCAGCTGCCTGAAACAATTGGTTAAACTCGGGCCTTTTATATTCTTCTAAAACAACAATGAGTAGGTGAGAAGAGAAACGGGAGGAGAAGCTGTAGAGGCTGGAGAAGTATATTCGGACCCCAGAAGGCATGAAGGCATCGACAATTCTGCGAACAAGTATTGCAGAAGCAGCAACAGTGGCAAATGCAATAATAGTTTGCCTGTTTTGAAGGGGTAACATTTTCAAGTACCTTGTAATCCTTTTTCAGTTGTAAAATCTCAAGGCTTCTACTTATCTTGACCTAAAAAGAAAAGGTGTTTATTTAACAAGACCACTTTTGCTCCTCAATCAATTCCATCAGAGTTTTATGGTTCTAACTTCTAGGCAAAGAAAATTATATTTCCATTGCTCTTCGATTGATTTTAGTCTAGATGTTTCTATACGTTTTGACGTTTCCCAGAATTGATTTCACGGCTATTCTATTCATTCATGAATAAAGAGGACTTTTCTTGTCCAACTTTAATTTTGGTGGTTGGAAGTCAACATTTTTACGTAGTTGGTCCTAACGTGGTGCTTTCAGAGAAGGATAGTCTACTCTTTTCTAATTACTCATGGCTTCATAGCAACGCCATTGAGAAGAGTAAGCCAGCATAGTTTAGCTGAAATCTAAACGAGTTCAAATTCTTTTTTCTTTTTTTCTTTGGCCAAGTGGAAGAGTTCAAATTTGAGAGTCCAAGTCGATGTTTTCGTTTGACCGCATATCAAAGGAAATCCAAAAGAGAGAGGTCTATGGTAGAAAATAGAAAACCAACGTATCGGGGTGACACATGACGAGATACCATCTGAAATCCAGTCTAGTGTACGGTGTACCTGGATATTGGTGTTTTCTCACCGGATATAGAGAAGAGAAGAAAAGGCAGTTTACTGTAGCATGATCCTGTTATATGTTTGTTGTTTAAAAAAACACTGGTTTTTCCTCCGGGCTAATATCTGAAAATGTTGTCCAAGTTTTGTGGTTCAAATCACTTAATTAGCTTGAACTTGAATATAACATGAAAAAGGTAAACTAAATGTCTGTATAGTTGAGAGAAAAACAAACATATATTAAGGAAAATCAGAAAAAGTGGAAAACAGCACCAAAACCACACCAACAGAACTATTCATAATCATCTGAGCTTCAGCATTGACCATAGATAATGAACCTGCCTTAAAAAAATATGTGCTCAATACAGGTTTTTTTAGAACCTACTATTTCAACTTGATGCCAACAGTTAGCATCCCTAAGGACAACGAAGCTATGGACTATCGAAGATCGTCATGAATTGATAATCAATAGGACCTCATTTGGCACGAAAAGTTATGGAAATTTTTTATTGATCTGCCAAGTTAAAGATTGATATAATGTTGTATGGTAGTTGATTACATGTATGAGAAGAGAGGTAATTAAAAAGAAGTCTTGAAATATCGTAATAACAACTCCTTTACTTTCATGCTTCAATGCCCTTAATTTCTTCTAATCTTTGGACTTGATCATATTCAGCAATCTTGAGGTGAAGAAATTTGATTAGGCCTTGGAGAGAAACTTCAGCATCATTACTCTTCATAAGCTCTCCTGAAACTTCTGCAAGTGTTACTTCAACCTTCTTTAAAAGACCTTCAATCTCTTCAAAGAGTGTGTGATGGGCAATATCGAAATGGTTGAAAGCCAACTGGTTGAATGCAGAAATGGTGCAATATGGCATGATAATGTGCATGTCCATCAGACCAGATGTCAACAATTCCGGGTCGAGCATGCCTATGTGATTGGTTGTGAAAACAACAATTTGTCCATCTCCAGGGCACAACCGAAGTTAGTTGAGTATATCCGAGACGGTCACCTAATGGAGTAATAAGAACATAAAGTTCACATCAGATTTCTATGTATCTGAAAGCTATTCTCATACATAAATGTTGCAGTTTGATTATAGAAATCTTCGGTTCATCCACTAAGTAAAATGATTCTCACCTGTTTTTCACCTTCAATCTCAGGTTCATCCACCAATTCTTGGTTTTGCAATTTGATAGTGCAGTCGATATCCTCAACTACCACTATAGTTCGACTGGGCAGTCCAGGAATCACCCAGCGCTCGAAAAAATCAGGACTGCGGTCGAACTCTGATACATCCAAGTCATAGATGTCATAGTTTAAGTGATTAGCCATTGCTGCGATCAAGCTCGACTTGCCTGTGCCAGGAGGACCATATATCAAGTAACCACGTTTCCATGGTTTACCAGTATTTCTGTAATATTCTTGTGCATTCATGAAGGTGTTCAAATCATCCAATACTGCTGTCTTAAGCTCTGAATCAACTGCGAGGGTCTTGAAGGTAATTGGGTGATCAAAATTGAAGATATAGTCTGAGACTCCACATTCGAAGTTCACCGGATATAGCTTGATTACCTTACTTTCTTCTCTAATAGCCTTTCCTCGCTCCGTAATGTATGGCAAGTACAAATTCAACACCTTCTGTTCATGTTTCTTGTCGAAAGTTAGCTCATAGTATTTCATATATTTTGCGTAGGCACATTGATCAGACAATTCAGCATTTTTGAAAATCAATCTCCATCTTGCTTCCACATTCTCAAAAATGTCAACAATCTCTTCATTTATCTCCAAGTAGGTTACCAATTTCTTCATATCCTCATCCTTTCTCACTCTCAGTCTGCATAAAGACGAGCTCACTTCGGTGACCAAATAGGTATCAACAGCCTGAAATTCTTGGTTAAGTGAGTCGTCATCTTTGTATTCCTCTATAATAATAGTCTTTGGATCATTGAAATAGGAAGAATATTTGTGGTTTGAGGTGAAAATGTGTCTTCGGACCCCATAAATGGTTCGGACAAGTATTGCAGAAGCGACGATAGAGGCCAGCACAAGTGAAAACTTCAGATGTATTTTGGCTCTTTAGAGAGGATAGCATTTTTCTAGGTTCTTGTGACGGTAGATGCGATAACAATGTGTGTGATGATGGTGCAGTTCTTCAAGAAGGCTGTGTTTTCGGGTGAATGGAGAGGTATGGTTTTGCTTCTCTTTTAACAAATCTTGCTTTTAGTAATGACTTCTATAAAGAGTCTTTCTTCTTTATGAAATTACGACCTGGGTAGTTCCTAAGACAAAATTCCAAAATTTAGGAGGTCCCTTGGAGCTATCCGAGAAGGATGCATGCCTTGATACTTGAATGCATACATGATACAGCAATGCTCATAAACATGATGCTTCCTTGACTTTTCCCACAGAGTTTATTTTTAGCCAACCTGTGAAACTTGACGTATTCAAGAACGCTTTCTGGGAGCATGAAATTGAAAAAATAAGGACATAGGTTTTAGAGTTAAGGGTTGAAAAGGTGCGCTGCTGCATAAAAGTCCAAGCTTTGCTGGCTAAGTAGACTCTTCAAACTTGAAAGAATCCATTCAAAATTTCAGTGCATGTCCTAGAAACATAGCCATGACTAATCCAAAGGAGTGAAAAGGTTGTCTTATTGGAATGTTTCTGTCTTTTTCTTGGCATTATAAACCTCACTGAAAGCGTCGCGAAGCTTTAACTTCAGAACCCTGATCCCATTTTTCTCTGGTGTTTCGGTCGAAAACAAAGGCTTCTTCAAAAACTCCATTATTATCATCATTAATTTGATTAAGGAAGTCCTGAGCAATGTTCTCTCTCCAAAACATGCCTAATACAAAAACAGTTCTTTCTGTGGTAGCAGCTTCAGCAGTGCTGATTCCAAGCATTGCCAATCTCTGCATTCTTTCTCGTCGTTTCTCTTCTCAAGTCACTCTTGTCATAGAAGGATATGAGCAAGAGTACTGCTATGAAAAATTATTTGCGGCTACTGAAACTTATTTGGGCACTAAATTGGCACCATCCATTCAAAGAATCAAAGCAAGCAAAAGAGAGAGAGAGAAAAAACCAGAGATTGCCATAGACATAGATCAAGAAATTTTTTATGTTTTTGAAAATGTAGAAGTGAAGTGGAGATTGGTTCTTAGAAAAAAATCTGAATTTCAAAATATCTTACAAGCAAGACTGAGATCCTATGAGCTGAGTTTTCCCAAGGAGCACAAAGAGAAGGTGCTGAATTCTTACTTGCCCTTCATTTTACAGCAAGCAGAGTCTATTAAAGAGGACAACAAGTTACGAGAGATCAACTGTCTTAGGGGTTTATCTTGGACAACATACACCAAAATAGATCACCCGATGACCTTCGAGACTATTGTAATGGATGAGAGACTCAAGGAAGAAATAATAGGTGATCTGAACACCTTCATGAAGTCGAAGGAATATTACAGAAAGATCGGGAAAGCTCGGAAACGTGGATACTTGATATACGGTCCTCCTGGAACAGGAAAGTCGAGCTTGATCGCTGCCATGGCTAATCTTTTAAACTACAGTATCCATGACTGGGATCTGGACGCAGAAAATTTCCCTGTAAGTGAGGATATCAGGTCAGTGTTGCTCCACCGTTTAGACAAAACTATACTTGTCATCAAAGATATTGATTCCACTATCACAGTTTCAACTGGAAGACGAGGCTTTGAACAACAGAAGGAAATTCAAAAACAGTTTGGTATAAGTTATCGTTTGCATGTCTGAAAGATTAGAACACAGACACATACTTGCAAGTTGCAATGCAATGAACAATAATTTGCTTCAAAACACCATTTTTTTGTGTCTCGGATGTTTTGTGCTCTTTCTTATCAACAGGCTATGCTCTTAAAGCTGCTGAAGTTCATTGATGGACTTTGGCTGCCTCGCATCAATGAACTCATCATCGTTGTCAAAACTAGCAAGAAAGAAAGGCTTGACCCAGCTTTGCTAGTGCCTGGTCGCATGGATATGCACATTCACATGCCATATTGTACGTTTTCTACATTCGAGCAATTGGCAGTCAGATTTCTAGGTTTCTATCACGTCGAGCTCTTCCAAGAGATTCAAGGGATTCTAGAGGGGGTTGAAGTCACCCCTGCAGAAATTGTACGAGAGCTATCAAAGAGCACCGACTCTCTCCAAGGGGTTGCCAAATTCCTCCGTGAGAAATTAGAGAAAGATGAGCAGGAAAACTACAAGAAAATTGAATCCAGAGAGAAATTGGAAGACCATCCAGAAGGAAGCGGAGAGGATAGACTTACGTAGCTAATAGAGTTTGATTTTGGATTGTGTATAAGATTATGAGCAAGCATTTTCAAAAAGAAGAGAGCAGAAATACCATTGCTAAATAAGCGATTTTTCTTCCCATTAATATTTTATGTTAAGGGTCCATAACAATCGCTAAAAATGATTGAACCAGGTCCACCATATCCAATTCGAAATTTCATCCAAAAGAAACAAGCAGCTCTAGGGGTTGAAGATAACCAGATGATGGAATGGACTTAGTGGCATCTAAAATGCATGGAAAGCAAGAATTTGGCACCTTCTGTTTAGTAAGAACTCTATGAGTAGATCCTATTTCTGGAAGTTCACCCAGATTCCTAACATCGTATCCTAAAAGATGAATATTTACCCAAAATAACCATTTGAAAAACCTCCAATAATAGCTGGCCATGGATGTTATTATAACCCAACAAATATTCCTCCTAACACATAGTTGACTGAAACAGAGATTATCAAGTGACAATAGTAAGGTACAACAAAAGAGAATCTCAAAATCCTCTCTTAAAGTAGAGCAATAGCACAACATTGTGGGGAAATCATCCTACTCCCCATTCACACATTTAAGGACCAGAAGGTTCCATTACCATCATCACTGCATAAAGAAAAAAAAATCAATGGATGTTCATAAATCTGCAAATCCAAATAAATAATTCAAAGAATAGACAATAAGCACCCACCTCAGCATCTTCACCCCCACCAGTTCTGGCAGAGGTTTCCATCTTCTCGTCAGCTGTCAAAATAAAATTTCAAGTAAGTCAATTGTCCACTAAAAACCTACAGTATACAGACATTTGGAATCATATGTGCGCACAACAGACAACTTGTGCTGCAAAAGGTTCAGATTAAAGAAGATGTCCATTAAAAATACTGTGTAATTACCATGATTTCTTACAGAGAATCTGGCACATTTTGTACTTGGGAAGTCAAATAACCAAATGGATATGGATTTTACTTTTGTCCATGGGCCATCACTTTTCAATTTAGCCTTGCTCATTCGATTCAGTAAGATACTACTAAACCCAACAGATCCAAACAAAAACAAGAAATCACATGTAGTCCTTGCAATGAATGTAGCAAATAAAGAATTTGCAAACCTTATAATGAGGCAAAGTCAATTACACCAATTTTGTCATTTATTTATTTATTGGACTGGAGAAAGGGTCTAGCAAGAATGGGATTTCACAAGATTTCAAACTCTAAGCCCATTAATAGAGAGGACAGATCAACATTATTATTCATAAAATAAAATGAAAGCTGAACCCTTCCAAACTTTCAAGCATTAAATCTATAGATACCTCCATCCTCAGGAATATCAGAAGTCCACAAAGTGAGGTTGTCCCTCAACAGCTGCATAATCAAAGTGCTATCTTTGTAAGACTCTTCACTCAGGGTATCCAGCTCTGAAATAGCTTCATCAAATGCTTGCTTTGCAAGATGGCAGGCCCTAATAGACTCCGAAAATGTAATAAGAATTTATATGTATAAGCTTTTCCACATACAAATAATAAAAATGTGTATAAAGCTTTTCCCATGTATAAGCAATCACATTCTACATACCGTTCAGGAGAGTTCATAATCTCATAATAGAACACAGAGAAATTAAGCGCCAAACCCAGTCGAATGGGATGGGTGGGAGATAGATCACTTGCTGCAGTTGTTGTAGCAGTCTGCAAAAACCAACAAATGCCAAATTATGATAGTCAACCTAATATAGACTAATAAACTGATAAGGAAGAGAGAAAAATTAAAGGAAAAAAGGGTAAAGGTGGCTGATTCAATGAAAAAGAAGAACCATAAAAATTGCAGAAAATCAAAAGGCCATAACTAAAGAAGCTCTTATGGGAAAAACATATGAAAAAATATAAGTAAAGAGGCAAAGAGCCTTATTAGATGCCAAACAGGGCTCTTCCAATTAAAGCACCAAAACACATCTGTACAATGCTTTATGTAAGTGAAAGCAATCCCTGACCAATTTAACAATAAAGGTCAACGTTACAGTAACCTTAAAAACTGCAGAAATGCAAGTTCCAGTACCTTTCTCCTTCAAAGAACCAACTAAACAGACACAAGAAAATGTTTGTTGAGAACACGAGCTAACCCTAGGGTTTTCAAACATAGGTTGCACATGCAAATTCACCTTTCATGATAATCCAAACAGCAACAGTAAGAGCAAATGACTGGGGAGAAAGAACTATCTCTGAATCAGTTTGGTGCAGATGAGTGGAGGCTTTGATTTTGTTCCATACATATCACTTAACTAGGAAGTGCTTAACAAATCAAGGCGTTAAGCCCTAGAATTTTATCATAGCATCAAAGAAAAAGGAACAAAAAACAGGCATACATACCTCATATGCCTTAAGTGACTGATCAGCTGCCTCTTTCCTCTCATTACCGCTCTTGAACTCTGCTAGATACCGGTAATAATCACCTTTCCTGCACCAAACCCAAAACCCTTCATAAAATCCACATAACAATTAAAACCCACAACATCCACATAAGCAAATTAATAAACCACAAACAAATCCACCCTTACATCTTATGGTAAAACACAGTGGATTCCCCAGCTGTAGATGAAGGAATGAGATGCTCATCAATCACTGCCATAATATCATTGCAAATGCCAGTTAACTCCGCCTCCACCTTCTGTCTATACTCTTTGATCCTCTTCACATTTGTCTCATTCCCTTTCGACTCCTCCTTTTGCTCAATCGATGACAAGATTCTCCATGATGCCCTTCTTGCACCGATCACATTTTTGTAGCCCACAGAGAGCAAGTTTCTCTCCTCCACCGTTAGTTCAACATCAAGTTTTGCTACTTTCTTCATCGCATCCACCATTTCTACATACCAGCAAACAACAAACCATCAGCATTCAAACAACTTCCAACAAAAGTATCGACATCATAAATTCATTATTTCTATCTTTTTCGAATTTTCACACGAAATTAATTTGACGAGCAGAATATTCAATTTTTATTTACTTCGTTATTATGTAATCACAATTCAGCAACTATTAAATTTCCTCTAGTAAATTTTTGTGTAAGATCCCAAAAAATTTAAAGCACAAAAACCTATATTATCATGCAAGATAATAAAGAAATTAAGAAGAAAAAAATCCTCATCAAAGTACTTGCAAACGAAAAATGAAATCAGTCAAAATAATTGAAATCCGTGGCATTACTTAAATGTGATTGATTTTTAATCCCCGAAAAAAACAGAGAAATATTAATTTAAATCAAAGATAAAAAGAATTAAAATGTGGGTTAAATATGTCAATACAATCCATAAATCTGCGATCATCATGTGATTTGAGTCTATAATGAGTTAAAACAGAACGTGGAAGCACAGATCTAGAGAGAGAAAGCACAAAAAAACACATGTGAATAGATCGATCGAGAGAGAGAGAGAGAAACTGACCGTCGTAGCGTTCAGCTTGCTCGGCGAGCTTGGCGACATAAACGAAGTTCTCGCGATCTTTTGAAGAATCCATGGCTATTGCTGATATCTCTCTAGAAAACCACACACAAGGACAGTGTTTCTCTCTTTCTCTCCCTAGAGAGAGCAGCTTGCAGTCAAAAACGAAAGCCGGATACAGAGAGAGAAATGGGAGTGAAAAAAGAGAGGTTTCCTTTTCTCATTCCTTTTCTCTTCCTTCCGTTATTTATTTATTTATTAGTTCTAAGGAAAAAGTGTATCTAAGCCCTCTGAGTATAATGCATATTTTGATTTAGGCCTCTTATTTGTCATAAGTTTCAATTGCACCACCAAAGAACTATTGTAATTGTGCAATATTAGCTTTTCATCTCACTAGTCTTACCTCTTATTTTCACATGTGTGCACTACACAAATGGTCATTCAATCATATATATATATATATATATTCTTGTACAAATAATTAAAGGTGTAAAAAGGAAAATCATATTGATAATATTATGAAAATGGTTGTTAAGGGGATGCTAGATGAAAGGCTAAAGTTGCATTAATTGGAAAACATTAATCAGAAGAGGGCTAATTGGGCATCTATGATAGTTAGATGGGCTACACGTAGGTTGCCCTTTCATTTATTTCATAGGTGACTCCTTGCTTGGATTTGGCCGTGCCGGTAAAAGATAGCTAGGGTGGGGCCGGATGATGATGGTTGGGTAGAAAGAAGAAGTGTAGGGGAATGGAATAAAAAGCTCTCTCTCTCTCTCTCTCTCTCTCTCTCAGAGTGTATATATATGTGTGTGTGTATATAGATGATACGATTGACCTCTGAAATGTGCAGTCTCCAACTCTAATAAGGCATCTCTAGACCCCGTTTTCCTGCAGACGGGACATAGTTAACATGAAGCATTTGCCTACATTCTCCTCTGTAAAATTTATTCATTAACTAAACGTAATTTATGGTTCCCCTGAAAATATTGATTTAATTTAGCCCATGTTAGTTCACTCGAGATAAATACTGATTTAATTTAGCCCAGTTAGTTCACTTGCAACAAGGATATCATAAATTTCATTCGATCAAAGGAGGATTTTGCATTTTGGCATGCCAAGCATCTAGATTCTCCCATTGTAAAACCTTGATGGGTTTGAACGTAGAGAGTTTTCAATCTGGTTCGCTTAAAGATAAAATGAAGAGAAACATTTGCTTTTTACAGTTTTTAAAGTAGTAAAATATATTGTTATATTCTTTCTTTCTTCATCTGGCTTCCCCATTTTACAACAAAACTATGCAATTCATTATAGAAGACATCAAAAATCAACTAAACAGAAGATTTTCATAAAGAGAGAAGCAATAAAGAAGGCAATACAAATAGAGTAGACAGTTTTTTTTTTTTTTCCCTGAATGACATATCATGCTGCAGTTGATAATAGAGAACACGTCATGCTCATGCATTGTGCAGCAGAATAAGGTCATTTCCTGAAGGGTAGAAAGCTAAACATTTCTCCACTGCGCATAGCCAAAATAATAGAAGAATCTCGGTACACTGGAAATCTAAGGGATACAACAACAGATCACAGGATAATCAACTTAAAATTTTGCCAAAAAAAATAAAATAAAACCTAACGGGTTCAGCAACTACAGTTTCAACTGAGTTTTCTTTTTCTTCAATTTTGGGGTCAATGTCAACCTTTTCCTTTCATTTCCTTTTTGATCAGGAGGTCAACGTCAAGCTATGAACAGCTATTTGCCTGCAAAATTCGGAACTTGTGGGACAGGAATTTGAACTACAGCTTAGATTAATGTCGTTTTGATACTCTTTTAAGCAACTTGTACATTCCAAAAACATTCTTCTCCTGCCACAGATACGGGATGAAAAAGGATCGATACATGGGAGGTGAGAGCTCCCTGTCTAGATAGGGCAATGCTGCAATTGGCTGAAATGCATACAAGTTTTAGTACACTCTCCAAGGGACATAAAAATGTCGAAACTGAAAAGGGAGGGATACAGAGAGGAGAATGATATATACCTCCCAAGTTGACAAGTCACTTCCTCGAGTAGGGTAAGGTCGATCAAGCTGCAGCTCAACTAAGAAAGTACAAGCTTCAAGGTCTCGGAGCTGTATGCAAAACTTGTGTTATTAACTTTGTAACAGACAAGTAGTGATGGTGAAAGGAATAAAAGGTTTGGGATCAATTACATATTGCTCATCTGATGCCTTGTTCTTGTTGTTAAAGTAAGGAGGTGCTGCTGCAGTCCCACCCAGGGTAGAATTGAATGGTAACGGAAGAAGACCTCGGAATCCATCATCAATCCACCGAACTTCACTGATGTATTCGGGGACAAAAAAAGACGAAGGAAAGCGATGCCATTCACTTCCGACACAAAGAGTAGAACCTGCAATATACAGAAAACAAAACTACAATGCATCTACTTTCAAGAAACATGAATGACATAAACAATGCCTTATACATTGATTGAGAAAAGTGATGATTGATTCTTTTATCAAAACTTGGAGAGCAAATGGAAATAAAGGTCCTGTAGTGGTTCCAGGTTTCCTTAAAAGAAAAGCAAGTTGCAAATGAACAATTCATTTGCACAACTTAATGGTAATGCTCACCAAGAGAGGATGACGATGAGAACTCACAAATAATCCTATCTACCAGTAAGATTGCAGAGGATCATTTGTTACTGATTATATATAATTGCAGAAAGTGCATTAACCTAATATAATTAATCCTGTAATTTTTCTACTATTCATTACTATAAATACGAAATCCAAGAGGTAGGGCAACAAATTCGTGAATCTTATAAGTAGAACTGGTTCTTGTACCATCCTGAAGCTACTGTCATACATTTTGCTACATTTTTACGTATTTTCAAGTACAAGTGTCTAACTGAATGTCCATGATTTACTTTCTCCAACACAAAAATAAGCCACAACAAAAAAGTTGAAAATTTTTTGACTATGTATAGATATGATATATAGACTTCTTGCACACATTAAGAGTTAGCAGGTCTAAACCAGCAGATAACTTTTTTCTAACACAACATGCTCCAAGAGCAGAAGCACCACCCAAAAAATACAAGAAAATCAAGATCGGTGAGAACATTCTTGCAGTGTTTACTCCAAAATAGATCATACCTGTTCCTACATCATCATCATAGTGCTCCAAAATTTTGTAAGTCTCCAAAGGAGCACCATAACCATTTATCAACGAAAACGTACGAGCATGGGATGCAGATAATATTAAGCCAAGAACCACAGGCCTAACAAATTTAGCTATCTGCATGAAAATGCTACATAAGTTTAAAGCTCATAAAATAGGCAAATATAAAAGAATAGATAAGAAGCCTACCAAAACTGGCCAAGAATTGTCATGGGGATTATACTTGTCTCGGAAAAGATCAGGAAAGCTCTCAATGACAGCTGAAGCAGCAACACAGACAAGAGGGTATATTGGATACAGGAACCTGCAGTGGCAGTTGTAAATGTATCAGTCATCATAACATTTGAACCTTGCTGCTCTACTTAGATCAGCACTCTACACAGAATTGAGCATCTCTTTATCCATAAAACATAGATGAACCAACCAAAAGAACATTGTTTTATGCAGAGCAAAGAACTTTAATTGACGGCATATTTGCCAGCTGCATTCAAACAAAAGATTTGAAGGAAGTGAGATGGCAATCCTAATCAAGATAACATATTTCACATTGCACAGGTTTCCAGTATATAGTTTGCATATATTGTGTCATGACGTAAACTCTCTATCAACATCTCCTATGAATTCGTGATTGGACCAAAAAGAATAGGATTCAACATTGTCAGGGAAGATTTAATGGTGCGGTTGTGTTGTTTACATGCAAGGAAGTAAAAAGGGAAATTATTTATAAAATTTCCAGAGACTTCCCTCCATGCCCACAAAATATATTTGTTGAAGGAATCAAATGAAGGAACCACTCTCCCAACCAATGCAATATGAATGAACAAAAACCATGTTAAATAAGTAATGATAAGAGGAAGAGTTTATGATAACCAGGTCAGACTGGATGACATGATCCTCATACCATCCATCTTATTTGAAAGGTCATGTTTTTACTCTTGCAGGCTCACTCCATTGCATATCTCATAGTAGCGACTTGGATTCTTCTTGGAGAGAAAATTAAGACCATCCAGTTCACTCGGATATTTCAAGATAGAAGCTTTATTGATTTTGCCACAGAGCTTTGGAGAAAACAAACTCCGTAGTTCATATTCATGACAGGACCTTTCCCTTTTATTCTTGATTTTCGAATTACATTCCAAGAAACAGAAACTTCAAGAACATCAAGTGTAACAAACTTCCACTCAATTCAACTAGAATTATCCTATTAGATGCTTCGCACCAAGTCTTTAACTTTCAACACCCTTCTTGTTTTTCTTACACTAGGCAATATCCTCCCAAACTCTCATTTAAGGAAATTCAAATGCAAGTCATATAATATGAAATCTGAATACTATATGATCATTTCAAACTATTCATCCAGTCAACTATAAACCCAAAAGTTGCCTGATAGTCATCATTTTGATGTATATGTATGGCAATTTAGCAACATAAAGGATGCAATTGCCACTAACTTGAGGTTCATTCTGCATTAGAGTTTATGGTAACCAAAATTATAGCATTAAATAAGGACACAACTATACAATTAGTAGATGGCACCATCAACCTTATCATAAGACCAAACTACTGTCTGAAACTGGGACAGAGCATCTTCAATAAGTTGAAAGCAAATAATCTTGTGCCAACCAATGATACAAAAAATCAGCCTGAAGAGAAAACTTCATAGGCCAATGTAAGATGTCACTCACCCTCAAATGTAAGAAATTTACCGAGCCACAATTCTTTTACTATCCACTAGAATTTCATTCATAGTTAAGATTGGAGGTTCTAAATGGTAAGTAAATGAACTTGCTAACTAGAGAGAAATAAAGTTAATTATTGGATGAAGAATGCCAAGACACAAAAAATATGGAAAGATTAGCAGAAACATTCAACTCCATATCAATACATTGTTCAGGAAGATATGCATAGTGATCAAAAAAGAACTCTGGCACAAAGATCTCTGCAAGGACTTTTGAGGCAATTGTATGAAAAACAAACCTTTCTTCTTTGTGTGGTTGCAAAGACATGAATCCCAGCCATATATAAAGAGGTGAGACCACAATTAGCAGGTCTGGAGCATATTTTCTCCTTGCAATGGGCAGAAATGCCAGGAAGAGTAAAGCCAGGATGAAACAAAAGTTGAAATTGTTAAATCCATTCCTCAGATAAAATAATGGCCCTTCAACCCCATACAAGTGGCTCTCACCACCTCCTAAGACATTATATAATAAGAGATTAAAAACAGATGATGTCCATCGTTTGTAGTAGCAGTAGTCAACAAGCACGGAGAGCACCTGGAAGAATAAAATTCTTTAATCATAACAAAAATAACATGAATAATCAAATCAATTAAGGACTTACAAGAAGAGCAACAGAAGTGAGCGCCCCGGCCAAAAACGTTGGTTTGAATCTTCTAGCCAAAGAGTAGAATGTGATTGGCAAGAAAGCCAAAATCGAGAACGGCCAACCAAGAATTACTCCAACTGCTGCAACAGCAACAGCAAAAGCAGGTTTCCCAAGTAAAAATAATCCTGACGAAAGACTCATGGCATACATAGAAAATGAACTCGGCAAAAAACCTGCCAATCACATCCAACACAACATAAATTAAAAATGAACCCATCAATGTCCTAAAACCAATAAAACAACAAACACGAACACAAAATGCTCACTTACTCGTGCTAGCAAAGAAACAACCGCTGGTTAAACATAACATGGCGAGCGCATAAGAAGCAAGTCGTTTACCATACTTCCTAGAAAGCGCAACTACTAGTGTGGCATCAGCAATAACTGACAATACACCTACAAAAATTCTTACTGCATAGAATACTCTCACCTGGACACCGCAAAAACAGAAAAAGAAACTCTCTTAACTACCTTCAACACAATCAGTCTCCAATGAATAATTAAAGGAACGAAACGGCAAAATGAAAAATCTTACTTTATCATCAGGAAACAGCCAGGAAGCAGGTAATCCGAATATTTCATGGAAATTAATGTACAAATATGACCTAAGCGCATACTGAGAACTGCAAAATTAACAATACTTTAAAATCAAATTTTAATTAAGATTAGAAACAGTAACTATTATTATTAAATTTAACTACCTGTATTCCCAGGTTTGGAAACCAGAATTATAGAGCAAAAAATGAAGAGGCTCCCAATAATTGAAAACCTCATCACAATCATGTATGATATTTGATGTAGCGCTCAAGTAGCGTAACATTCCTAAAGAGAATAAAGGTAAGAACCATCCTATTCCATTTTGCCCTTGTTGTTCTTCCTCTGATCTCTTTGGTTTGTCTTCCTTTTTGTATGGTTTTGATGGTGTGGAGGACGACGATGGCTGATCTGACGGTAATGCTCGTCTTTGCCGTGTTGGCAATGATAGAGCCATACAGGACTATTTCTTTCTCTCTCTAGGACTTCACCTATTTCTTTTTCCGGTCCGGCAAGGGAGTGGAGGTTATGGAGGTGATTGCTTCACTTTCGAGGTGTGCGGTAGAACATTTCAAACTTTTTCTTTTTTTATTTTTCTTTTTTCTTTCCAGCTTTTACTTTTTATTTGCTCCTTTTTAGGCATTTTTTTATTAGACCCTCCTTAATAATATATTGCTCAAAATTCAAGCCAGTGAGAAGGGCCCATCATAGCAAGAATACCCCGCGTTTGAGGCCGCTCTCGGCCCATTTTCATGGCAAACCACCATCAAGATTCAAGAATGCACATGAAGCCATTCCTAAAAAGAGAAGTAAATTAATCGCTCTTACTGAAATGACAAAAAAAAAAAAGAGTAAATCATAATTTAGTCCTTGTGTTCTTAAGGAACTAACAAATTAATCCCTTTAATTTGATATTAAAAATCATGTGTTGATTTCTTGACCAATTTTCACTGGTTGGAGATAGGTTTCAAGTCGCCCAATTCAATTGTCACGGGATGATCGATCTAAATTATTAAAATATATTACCTTTTCAATTAATACCTAAAAATCATAATAAATAACGGCTCAACAACTTAGTGATGAATAACTAACGGCCAAAAATTGTAATAAAGGAATATGAAAAATATAAAGATTAAATATGGGGTTTTGAGAACAAAAGAAAAAAGCATCCATCAGTATTATTTTTGTTTTTTTTTAACAAATTAAGAAACTCGATTTTCAAACACCGAGACTAAATTTCTTAAATTATAACTTAAGTGATGACTTGAAAATGACAAGTATACTCACAACCAACTAAGCTAGACCCCAAGAGTCTAAATTTTTAATTTCTTAATTACAAGATTAGTTTATTATTGGTTAAAAAGGACAAATCTTTCCTGAATTTTAGTTCATTTAAAAATCACTAGTTTTCTTTAAAAAAAAAATTCAATTCTTAATTCTGAGTATTTTGATTTGGAATTTTACACGTTGAAAAAAAAATTCAATCTGTTTTTTAGAAAAAATACAAGTCAAGAATTTTATTTATTTATTTATTAAATACTAAAAATATAGAAAATCGAAAAAAAAATAGAAAATAATTTGGGATTATCTTAAATTTTTTGAAGAGTTTCAAATAAATCTGACTAACTGATTTTCATTTTGGAGCAATTTATGTAATAGTTATTTTTTGAAATAAATGACGAAAAACTAAAAGTTGAACTAAATCTTAAAAAAAAAAAAAAAAGGGTTTAAAAAAATCAAAACACAAATTAAAAATTTTAATATTGATTTTTGAATAGACTGAAGTTGGAATGAGGTTTAGTGTTTTAGCCGTTTATTATTTACTATAAAAAATATAAGCTTTTCTTTTTATTCTTCGGGTCAGCCTTACAGGAAACTTCTTGCAAAACCTAAAACACTGCATATACATGTTAGAAGGAAGAAACTTTCACCTTTTTCGGCGTGTTATATAGGGCAGAGAATGCGTCTATTCTTTCCTTTCTTATCATGAGAAATGGTTTGCTGCTTTAAGCCTTTAACAAAAGTTTGGTCACAGACAGGACATGAATAAAGATAGTGGGCATCATTGCACCTAAACTATACTTTTTATACCTTTTCCATGTCTCTACTCATGTGGAAGAAGATTAATTTAACGAACATGACACAGAAATTCATTATATATCATCACTCATATTGTATTAAGGCATAAGACAGCTAATAGTCCAATAAAGCATATAATATTATATTTTGCATTAAAGCATAATAAGCATAGCTCATTAGAAGATGCGGCCAAAACAAATACCATCGGCCTCAAAAGAGTATTCAAGCACAGCAAAATGATCATACAGTGGGTAACATCGCCCCCAAAGCTTAAGACCACAAGGTGGATAATTTAGACAAGCATCTCTGTCGACGACAGTAAGTTATTGTATTTTGGGCAAAACCCATCTACAGAAAAAGAAAAGAAGAGAAAAGAAAACAGGCCAGAACAGCCTCCTCCTAGGCACTTAACCAGTGTTCTGCATGCCAGCCGCAATACCCTTCATGGTCAAGATTAGAGTGTCCTCCAAACCAGGTGCATAATCACTTGTAGGGTTCAGTTTCACCAGTTCATTAGCTGGATTGCTTGAATCAATTAATTCCCTTGATATGTGTGGTCGTGTTTTTACGTTGTAGTTTGGGTCACGAATCCGTTTCAGCGTGTAGGCCTGGCAGACATTGAGGGTTGTGATGTATGAATCACGCAGCCGCAGTCTTTGTTTCAAGTAAGGGTCTCCTTCAAGAAGATCCTTGTGTCCAGCAATCTGAAAAGAAGGAAAATATTAGCTTTCTAACTTCTTTAAATTGACTGCCAGTCATCTATTTTGGTCACTAGGACAAATTAATAATTGGATGCAGTGCATCTGTGCAGGACAAATACAGGCAATGAGTGGGCATTGAATTTTGGTAGAGACTAACATTAAAAAGATTCGACTTTCTATTGTAATTCTAGAATAAAGGAATCGATGAAAGGCTCAATAAATTAACAAATTTGACAAGAGATATTAGCAAAATGTAACGGGATTGCTGAAAGTCTGGTGTTTTCCATTTCTAAATACCTGCTAATTTGTAACGCAGTTAAAAGATTCAAGGGGAATTTTATCCTTATGGCTTTACCTGGAGCAGGAGTCTCTTGGTTTCCTCATAGTTGACCCTCAACTTATCGCCAAATGACCATAGCTCCGGAGAAACAAGGAGTTTGTCATTCAAGGCAGCTATTCCAGGGTCTCCCTTGGCGAACACCATTTCAACCAAATCAATGGTGACCCTAAAGAAAGGCCATGCATTGTACATCTCTTGCAGCATATGAAGATTTCTAACGTCCTTCTTAATGACATGTTTAAATGCTGCTCCAAAGCCTAGCCATACCGGAAGATGGAATCTTGTTTGCGTCCAGGCAAAGATCCATGGGATTGCACGTAGAGATTCAATGCCCCCACTAGGCTTTCTCTTAGATGGACGACTTCCAATGTTCATCCTACCATACTCTAACTCAGGTGTGGCCTACAAAATAAGAAAAACAAGCATTATTTACAGACTTCAAATAACTCAAATGGCATCAGTAACAACATAGCACATGTTTTACTTACAAGACGGAAATACTCGACGAATCGTGGCTCTTTGAAAACTATAGAACGATACTCCTCTGTAGCAACAACTGCCATTTCATCCATCAAGGCTCGCCATTCTGGTTTTGGTGAGACTGGGGGATGCATACCATGCTCAAGGGTGGCAGCAGCAAAACGCTGAAGTGTTCTAAAGCACAAGTGCTCCTCTCCAAAAGATTGCTCAATAACCTCACCTTGAACAGTGACACGAAGCGAACCATGAATAGTGTCTGGTGGCTGAGACAATATAGCAAGATGAGTGGGACCACCTCCTCTTCCAACAGTCCCACCTCGGCCATGGAACATTGTTAGCTTCACACCATATTGCTTAGCTACCTTTATAAGTTCCTCTTGAGCTTTGTATAACTGCCAGGCTGCAGAGAATCTTCCAGCATCTTTACCAGAATCAGAGTATCCAATCATGACTTCTTGTTTTCCATTGATACGGTTTTTGTACCAATCTACTGAGAAAAGCCGAGACAGAGCAGCAGGAGCTGCCTCCAGATCTGCAAGCTTCTCAAACAGCGGAACAACTCTTAATGGTTGTTTTACATGGCATTCACGTTGAAGGAGCTCAACAGCAAGCACATCTGATGGTGCAGTTGCCATTGAGATGATGTATGCTCCAAAGCTATCTGATGGCAGTTCAGCTATGACATGAAACGTGTCCAACACATCAGAAATTTCTTCTGTTTTTGGAAGATCTGGACCAAACAGTGGGCGCTTGCCACTGAGTTCAGCTAAAAGCCATTCCTGCCTTCGTTCTTCTGACCACTCTCGGTAGGAACCAATTTCCAAGTGCTTGGTAATGGCATCTATGACATCAGTGTGACGGTCTGACTCTTGTCTAATATCAAGCCTCACCAATGAAAGTCCAAAGGTGGAGACTTGCCTTAAGAAATCAAGGAGGCTTCCATCAGCAATCGATCGGTCACCACAAGAGCACAGTGATCTATAACAGAGTTCCAAAGGTTCCAAGAACTACATGAAATTAAAAACCCAATCAGTATTATGTCCATTTACATATAACTAAACACAACAAAACCTCAAACCCATCATGTGTGGGTTTAGTTAAAGGATATGAATAGAAACACCCAATTTATGATTCCTGGTACATCTTAAGAATGCACTAAAGGATGATCACCATATCAAACAAAAATAAAATGATCCCTTATCATGTAAAGACAATTATGGCTCTTGATAGGCTCGCTAACCATGGAAAGATTAATAATTTGGGTCGAAGACCCAGCAATGGGAACAGAATTTCAAATAAGGAAAGGATTAAGGCTGACTGTGACAACTAACAAGGATCGCATGGCCTTCATTTGTGCTACAGATAGACCGTAATACCGAAATAGGATTCAAGTAGTCAACCCCACACACACCAAAATGTGAACATGGATGAAAACGTTATTATATACTAGCAAATAAAAGAATTTACAGGGGAAACCAAAGAGATATGATACCTGCTCAACATTTGTGAAAGTTGCTTCCTCTGGAATTTCAGAGATCCCATGGGATAGTAATTGACGAGAGCGTTCACGTGTCTGATACAGCTTATCCCTCAGCTCACCAAGAATCACACGATAGGGTTCGTTTGGAGGAATTTGTTTCCAAAACTCTGCAACAAGAATAATGTGAATGATTATTGCATCAGTAAGATAACTAATTTATGGTAAAAGACTCATGCATTAAGAATGAAATATACAAAAAAATAACAGAAAGTTCTATTTGATAAATAAAATGTTATATAGCTTAGGCCATTTTAGTAGGATTCTCTACTTTAAGGATACTAAATGCCTTTTTTCCCTTAAAAGTAGGGTTAGCAGGG